TAATTTTCTGCGAATCAAAAATTATTTTATAAAAGGGCGCATTTATAAATTAATTTTTACTGCAGCCATCTCTATTTGTTTGTAGACACTCGAGTAAACCCGAGTAAACCCGAACGCCCCTCCCGGGGAGGGCCTCCCCAGATACAATTTTATGACGGACTGGACTTTTGTTTGACGCAATTTGGGGAAACGATTGAAAATAATAATTTATTATTTTTATTCATTAATTCATTAATTTTTTTATCTACATTTATTTTGATTTTTAGTTTTTAACAAGAATTCTTTATGTTTAAACGTTTTTTATAAGAAAGCACTTGTTAAAAACTAAAATAAATAAATAAAATAATTCTCTTGAAAACAAATTAAAATAAATAAATAAATTAATTAATAAAAATAATAAATTGTTATTTTCAATCGTTCCCCCAAATTACGTCAAACAAAAGCCCAGTCCGTCATAAAATTGTATCTGGGGAGGGGCGTTCGGGTTCACTCGGGTTTACTCGAGTGTCTACAAACAAAATTTTTTTGTATTTAATAGAGATTGGTGCAGTAAAAATTAATTTATAAATGCGCCCGTCGTCTTTTATAAAATAATTTTTGATTCGCAGAAAATTATTTTATAAAAAAATAATTTTATAAAAAAGAATTATTTTATAAAAAAAATTTTTATAAAAAAATTATTTTATAAAATTTTTTACAAAAAAAAATAATTTAAAAAAAAAATTATTTTATAAAAAATAATTTTATAAAAAAATTATTTGGTAAAGCATATAATTAATTATTTATAAAACAAAATAAGTTTATTTAGCAGTTTTAATTTTGACACAAACGGCGCCTCATAAAAAAGCCTTGATAATATTAATAATAATATGAAAATTAAACTTTGGCGTTGAATAACTTTTAAACCAATAGACTAATGAAAAAATTATAAGAGACCTTTTTTGTAGAGCACAATTCTCTATAAAAATATGTATGATTTATAATTTTTAATTCATTCGTTCCCAATTTATAAAATTATAAACAACAAAAGTAATTTTTCCTATGTTATTTCCATAGGAAACTTAGATTGGAATGCGCACTATCTTAGAGTTAATATTAAGAGCTCAAATTTTCAGGGAATTTTTTTTTATCAATTTGGAAGCATTTAAGCCCCTGGGAGCAAAGAAATTTGAAAATAACCTTATTAAGGACCACCCTAACCCCCATTCATGAATCCCAATTGAATGGGGTTATTACTAAGACCCAGGTTGAGAAGGATTCCGGATTGTACTTAGGTTTGGGTCAGTTCAATGTCCTCCAAAAACCCTTCCTAAATTGGACGTATGGCCTGACCCGGCTGACAAAAATCCGTGGAGCGGCCTTAACCATAGACACTGTCATCCACTACCTCCTAGGGTGGATCTAGCAGCCGGCGCACATAGGTAGAATTCGGTCACTTAGGCGGCCAAAATTATTTTATTATCTCTTTTAGTAGGAGACATGATAAAAAATGTCTAATAGGTTAAACTAAATAGAAAAAGGTATTTTTACCAAGTTTTGTCGACATATTGGTTTACGTAGTAGAATTTTCACTTTTTTTGAAATTTAAAAGTTGAACTCACTGGTTTTTTCGTAGACTAATACGTTTTTTTATTGATCTACGGCACGTATTTTTAGATGAGTCCACGCTGAATTTAATCAAAATTGGATGAGTACTTTTTGAGATACAGAGCAGTGAATATTTAAGGGAAGTAAATGATACAAGATGTAGTAATTACATGGAATTCATTATTTTTCCAAATTTTTACTATGCAATTTACATTTTAAAACAAGTTTAACAAAAAGTAATATTACTAATATTAGTCATAAATATGATTGAAAACATAATATAAACATAATATATAACACAAATTAAAAAAATCATATTCTTAATAATAAATACTGATTAAAGTTACACATACAAAAATTAAAGTAATTTACGAGCCAAATGAAATGTCTTCGTCATCGCTTTCCATACATTTAGACACAGGCTACCTCTGTGTTCGGCTCTGCAGAAACCAAAAGTCGTAAAGTTTCCTGCGAAAACGATTTTGAAATTGTTTTCTTTTCTCAAAGAACTGATGAGAGGGTTGGATGTCATAAGTAACCTGTGATATATGTGTAGATTGCATTCTTCACGTGAAAATTTACGGCAAAGTTAAGGCGGTACGACCGGAAATGCGTATTCCGGGCTTCGGCAGCTTCTTCTGAAAACTGGCCAATAGGTAAAATGGCATTTTACCCCCGTGTAATAAAATTGTATGCATTGTGGGGCTAATACGGTGCCACCCATACAAATCCACGTACAGTTTAGCCGTTTCCATTGCATACTCATCAAACTTTTGGATGCCGCTTGTGATGGCCTCTAAAATTGTTTGGATTCTACAAATAAAATTTTAATTTAAAAATCGTTATCTAAAGGTGAAAATAAAAGTTTGTACGTGTCACGCTTTGCAATTAATCTTTACTAGGCTCACTGGATTATGGGGTTCGCTCCTGCATCGCTCACCCTACAAACTTCCAGCTCGCCCGTAAAGATTCATTTACAAAGCTTGACACGTAAATAACTATTATAAGATTTTTAATGTAAATTATAAATTTCTTGATTTCTGCCCAAATTACTTTCAAGTGGAATTTTTCGCAAAGTGGACCAAAGTGGACCGTAATTTTTTCTCAGTTTTTAGCTAAATAAATTATTTATCAATTACAAAAAGAAAAAATACTCGGACGGGCCTGGAAAGGTAACATTTTTACTTTTGAAACGGAAAAAAGTATAAAAAGTATGTTAAAAAAGGGTATATCTTTAATGGGCTATAATTATGCGAAATATTGACATTTATTATAGTATTTCTTTAAGAATTATAAGTAACATACCTGAATTGTCAATATCCATCACATTCACTTAATAATTGAACTTTCATTCACTAACTGACTTTGTAAAATAGTGTTTGTAAGGGTGTCGAGAACGAGTTTAAGCAGCTTGCGCGACGGTCAAGTTTCGACTTATTATTGGGAACGCACATGTTCTGCTGGGACCGTGAAAGGGGTCGTCTATTGTTCTTTGGACTTTCTATTTTTCCCGTAAAGGATTAGTTTTCTTATTAATTAACTTTGAAATAAACCTTTTTGTCTCCCTAAATCCCCGAATTCTACCTATGTGCGGCGTAAAAACTTCGGATCCAACAAACACAGCTAATGCTGTGATTTGGCGGGATACGCAGGAGAACGGAAAGGTGGTAAAATAACCCTGGGAGATTAGTGGAGGATAATGTCTTTGGGGCCTGCCATACGTTCCCATACTCATACTCATACTCAAAAATTATTAACAATGAAATAACTTCACCTTGGAGTGAAGAAATCTAGATATTAAAATTACGTTTGTACTAATTTAGTTTTAAAATAAAAATATCAATTTGAATATCTTTCATTTTTTTTATTTAATAGGTACACCAAATCATTTGGGAAAAATACAATCTATACCAGTTGACTTATTGACTTTTAGTTTATTTAAAATTATATATATTTCCCGGCATGTAACTGGGCACAGAAAAATAGAATTATTGTTTCTTGAAATATTATTGTATATGTCATAATCCGAATTATGAATTTTGCTTCTCATTTTTGCAACTATATCTGTAAAATATTCTACCATTTGATTTGCTATTTCCTTTTTACCAACAATAATTTTATTGTCTATTTTTAATTCTGAAATTTCAGTCTTTGTTTTATTACGATTTGTGATTAAATTAAAAGAATTCCAAATTTTTTTTGGATTGCCTTCGCAATTTGAGAATTTAGTTTTATAATAATTATTTTTTGCTGTTTTTAGAGTTTTGTTTAGTTGATTTCTGTACGTCTTATATTTTCTTTCTAGTACCGAGTTGAAGTTACTTTTTTTAAGCTCCCTATACATATTTTGTTTTCTATTAACAGAGTTTACCAAACCTTGAGTTATCCAAGGTTTTCGTTTAATAAGTTTATGAAAAATTTTCTTAACAGAGGTTGCATTATCTAAGCATTCTTTAATCTGTTTTATAAATGAGTTAAACGCTTCATTCAAACAATTTGTATGGTATACAAAATCCCAATTTTTATTTTCCACTAATTCTTTTAAATAATTATAGTTTATTTCTTTTTTAAATTTGTTATTGTTTATTTCCCTAAAAGGAGTCATAAAAGCAACTGACAACATTATAGGATAATGATCGGTTATAGCATTCTGTAACACAATCGGTTTGGCGTTAATAGTATTATTTGTAGATTTTACGTAAAAGTGATCAATACATGTGGCTGTATTTTTTTCCACTCTGGTAGGTGTGTTAATAAATGGCTTAAAATTATGATTACATAATAAATTTTTGTATTTCGTAGAAATAAATTTATTTTCCAAAATATTAATATTGATGTCCCCCACTATAATTTCACTTTCTAATAAAGCTTTTGTATTTAAATAATTGTTTAACAGATCAACAAATTCATGTTTACTAAAATTTGGAGAATTATATATGCAACTTATACCTACTTCCTTACCATTAATATTAACTGTTATTCTTAAAATCTTAAATATATTATTATTACAGTCATACTCTATTATATCTACTAAATGTTTCATCGATTTTTTTACAAATACTACTACACCGTCATGGGTACTTATTTTCCCGTTGTTGTAGTAAGTCTCATACCCTCCTATTGCTAATTGTTTTATGTTACTAACCTGTCGGGTTTCTGTTAAAACCATAATGTCAAAAGAATTATTTAAATTTTGTATTAATACCTCAAACTCCTCAAAATTGTGTAAAACCACTCGAATGTTTGTATGAAAAATGTTAAAAGTAGTTTCAGCTTGAATACTAGACAAATATTTATTAATCTCTGCAACATCGTTAGTAATAAAAATTTCATCTCTATTTTCTAATTCTGACAAATAATCCATAAATAATACAAAAAAGAAATATTTTAAAAGTAATAAGTTTACCTATTAATTACTGGATCATTGTGACATTTTTTTTTCGTGTTAGTCTAAACAAGTCGTCTTCACATTGTATTTGAATAGCTGGGTCATTTTCTTTTTTCCTTATAAATATTTTTCCATTTGTCGCCCATACAAACTTAAAATTATTTTCCTTTTTAACATCTCTAGCTTTTTTGAACAAAAGTTGTTTGGCCGGAGCCAAATCCTCGTTTATAAATAATGTATTTGTTCCAGGTAGCTCACAATCTGAGGCTTCTAGTTTTCCAAAATTTGATTTTTTTTTCATAATTTCTTCTTTTATTTTGTTAGTTTTTAGTTTTAAAAGAATTGGAGTGTTTGCATTTTTAATATTGCCCTTTTTAGGCAAACGCATACATTCGGAGTATTCTGCATTGATTACTCCTATTTTATTTAAAATCTTTGCAATTTTATCAGTAACATTTTCATTTTCCTCAAAAGGAACATTCATTAATAACAAGTTATTTTTTCTTTGTTCTTGTTCTAAATCTAGAACTCTTTTTTCTAGTTTTTCCACCTTTTCTTTGTATTTCTTGTTTTCTTCCTTTTCAGTTTTTATAATTGCATTAAGGTTTTCATTTTCTTTTTTTATATTGTCAAAACAGGAGGACATAAACTCAATTGACTTTCTTATTCCTCTCATTTCTTTGAATAAGTCAGCCAGGCTGGGATTGTCATTGACTTCATCTCCACTTTCTTCATCATCTTCTTCTTCGTCTTCTTCTTCTATGATGGTGCTCTCACAATCTTCACATATCCACGTTGTTTTTCCATCATTTACATCTTTCTGCTGCTTTTTTGTTAATTTGGTACATCCAACACAAAACCATTTATTGCACTCATCTGAACATTGGAATTTACACTCAGTTTTTAGTTCAGTATTACACTTGTTGCATACACTTTTTTGAGTTTTACTAGTTTTAGAACTTTTTGGGGAGCCTTTTTCTTTTATTTTTCGAGTCATTTTAAATTTTATTACGCGCCACTGGTTTATAAGTAAACACACACGTTTTTATGGTTTTTATAAAGTTTTTTTTATGTATATATTAAACTTGTATGTGTCCAATCTACGAAACTAATTTTACTTATTTCCCTGTGCACATAAGTCTTTACAATTTGGATTTTTATACCATAATTTAGAGTTTTTTAAGACACATTCACTGGTCAAACTTTTTCAAATTTATTTACACTTTTTACCGCTCATTTAGGCAAGCCTTATCAGAGCAATATAGAAGCGTGTAACCGTGTTAACTGTACGTGATATGAACTTTAAATAAAATGAATTCTGGAAACTGCTTCTGGTAGTTTTTTGTACACAGGTTTTTAGATTTATAAAATGAAATTGTTTTGTTTTCTGTAGGAACTATTAGGAACCCACTAGAAGTGTTGGTGATATTAGGCTATAAGAAAGTTGCTGACCCATCAGTAGCAACAGTTACTGTACTGGATGTGCAGGATCTGTCTGCCATGGCACATGGTTATTCTAAAACTAAATAGGAATTTCATCTTATGTATTTATAGGCGAATCCTAAAGATTGCTGAAAGTCCTAAAGCAATATATACTTTCAGGACGCCCTGCAAGGATATCATGATGGTACTAAAAGACTATGAGAATTTTTTTTATAAATAAATAAAAATTTCGTCTATTTAAGCAAAATAGTTATTTTAAGGCATGACACCGAGTATCCAGATAAACTGTGTTCATGGTATATACCTATATGAGTACACATTTACCTTTTTGTTATTATTTAGATAATTGAGTAATTAAATTACTGGACATACAATTAAAAACCATGTACAACTTACCTTGAAAATTCGGGATTAGGAAGTACAACCCCCAAGAAATTAGCAAATATAACAAACAACCAAACACTAGCCCATCCTTAGATAAGCCATACACTTACATCAATCGGCGTCACCAGAAATACCGATTTAATCAGTTAATCCCATTTAACTATAGGCACGAGAGCGATTGCAGGTTGCCGATGTATGGTGTGGCAGGGGATGCCCTGGCGCGTTTGTCTGAATTTTAGCAATCATTAAATTGAATATAGGCCGCATTAAAAGAATGGGAATGATAATTGGGCAAATAAAGTATTTTTCAAGACAGTTAAAAAATTGGTATTAACTGTAAGACAGTAATAACTTACTTTACCTTAGTTTCCATTGAAATAAAAATCATAAACATTAAAAGAGACTATTCTTATTTCATTTGTTTTTATTTTTGGTTCATTATTGAAACTATATTTAAAAATCAACTTGTGCAATATTTAAACGAAAATAATATAATAACAACATCAGTCAGGTTTTCGAGAAAAACATTCATATGAATCGGTAATTTTGAGTATATGTGATAACTGGTTAAAAACTATAGATAATAATAATATTGTTATTGCGATTTTCCTTGATTTTAAAAGAGCCTTTGAACTTGTAAATAGGTTATTATTAATAAAAAAGTTGAAAAAATTAGGTATAGGGGATAAAGCTTTAAGTTGGATGATTTCTTACCTTACAGAAAGATATCAAAAAGTCAAATTTAATAATACGATTTCTAGTCAATTACCAACCTGCCATGGAGTCCCACAGTATTAGGTCCTTTACTTTTTATATGGTAAATTCTCATATAACTTGTTTCGATGCTGTATCCACTTATTTTTGTGAAAACTAATTCTCGCTCAAGGTTTTTTTTTAATGTAATAAGCATGTAGCATTTTAAGGTAATGGGAACTTAAATTATGACAACCCTAATCTATTATTTTTTTCCTAAAATGCAGGCTTTATGTTGCAAATGTCACGTAAGTTACCGGTCACCAACTGCAATATCCTAACATTGATGAATATTTTAACAAAATGGCTGTTGAAACAACTAATGTTAGTGCTTGATTAACTAAAAATAGACTTAAAATTGACGAAAAATTATTTTATCCGAAATCGGCAGTAAAGTAGAACTTTACTGCCGATTTATTTTAATTTACGATTGTTGACTACTTTACTGCCGATTTCGGATAAAATAATTTTTTGTCAATCTTAAGTCTATTTTTAGTTAATCAAGCACTAACATTAGTTGTTTGAACGGCCATTTTGTTGAAATATTCATCGATGTTAGGATATTGAAGTTGGTGACCGGTAACTTACGTGACATTTGCAACATAAAGCCTGCATTTTAGGAAAAAATTAATAGATTAGGGTTGTCATAATTTTTTTAATAAGTTCCCATTACCTTGAAATGCTACATGCTTATTACACTAAAAAAAACCTTGAGCTAGAATTAGTTTTCACAAAAATAAGTGGATACAGCATCGGAACAAGTTATATGAGAATTGACCATATTGTATATAAATGACATTACAAAATATATTAAACATTGTCAAATTAAACTTTTTGCGGATGATACAATGATTTATATATATGGTACAAATATTATGGAAATGTGTGATAAACTAAATTGTGATCTTGATAGTATTTTTAAATGGCTCTGTGATAACAATCTATGTGTAAATAAAAGTAAATGTATACATATATATATATATATATATATATATTAATACATATATATATATATATATATTTATAAATGTATACATACAGTGCTTGCAATATCAAGTCCGACCGCACTGGAAAGGACGGCTGTTCAATACCCGCGTGAAAAGAACAAGGATAGAACGCCAAATAGAATTTGATTGGCCAGCCGGCAGGCTGCGACAACGCATACCCATCGCGCACCTCGCAGCGTGCTTGACACGAGGATATCAGAACGAGAACTGCCAGTGTTGCCAACTCAGTAGATTTTCTACTAGATCTGGTGGATAAACATAGCCGTCTGGTGGGAAAAAATAAAAAAAAAATCCACCATGGTGGATTTTCTAGTAGATTTAGTATAAATTAATTGTTTTTCAATATAACGATTTTTTTAAATTTAATTGTCAAAAGTGTAGATTTTTAGTGTCCCTATAAAGTTTAAACATGGGTGCTTTTGACTTATTCTGATTATTTTTAAATATATAGTAGTATTTATTATTATTTATGGAAGTTATATTTATTTTATTTTGTGTTGTTTCTTTTTTAAATAAATTGTGCTATTATAGTTTATTAAAATTTATAACCCCCCCCCCCGGCTTTTCTCTATTTTTTGACACTATCTAATTTCTGGTGGTTTCTGGTGGATTTTTTTAGGCTTTTGGTAGAACTACTTCATCTCATGTTGGCAACACTGAGAACTGCAGTGGTGCCAGCAAGGTAGTATTTTTAGTAAAAAAGATTATTTAATTAAAAAATGTACACGTTGGAACAAAAAGTTCAGATTTTAATCTGGCATTTTGCTGGTAATTCTGAACGAGAAATTCAAAGATTTTTGTGGGGGTAACTCAAGTCGAAGCTGTACGTTTTCTAGGAAGATCGGGCTAATAACCTCAATGATTTAGGAATCCGCATAACTAATTTGTTGGGGGATATTAGTCCAGATGTCCTAGCTAATGTGCGTGGGAATTTTTATAATAGGTTAGGCTATTGTTTGGCTGCCTATGGGGGCTTGTTCGAACATTTAATTTAATTTTTGAGTTTATTTATTTTTAGAGTTTTATTTTTATTTAGAGTTTTATTTTTATTTATAGTTATTTTTATTCAGAATTATTTTTTATTTGAAAAATCTTTTTTATTAAGAATACTATTTTTGTTGTTGCCCTAGTTCTCAAGGAAAAAATCAAAAAAAATTATTTTTAGGATTCGGGTATAAAATATTTAAAAAGAAAATTAAAATGTGCATCTACACTCTAACGCAGTTTGCTTAACACTAAATCATTTAGTCTAAATCCAGCCAGACTGGCTGCCAGAGTTGACCTCGCTTACAATTCGCACGCATCCGGCAGCCAGCTCTGGCCAATCAAATTCTATTTGGCGTTCTATCCTTGTTCTTTTCACGCGGGTATTAAACAGCCGTCCTTTCCAGCGCGTCGGACTTGATATTGCAAGCACTGTATATATATTTATAAATATATGCTTTTAGGTAGTAAATATAACTTAAGTAAAGTTAGTGATGTAACCCTTAAAATTGACAGTGATGTTTTGGATAGGGTAAATAAAATTAAATATTTAGGAATAATAATTGATGAACAACTAAATTTTTATGATCATGCTAATTATATTAGAAATAAAATATCAAAAAAGCTGTAGTTTTTAAGGACAATGAATAGGTTTTTAAATTTTCAAAATCATATGTTGTTATAATATAAGACATTAATTTCACCCCATTTTGATTACTGTTCTACAGTTTTATATAGATTGCCACAAAATCAAATCCAAAAATATCAGGTTTTACAAAACAAATGTATGAGGTTTATTTTATAATGTTATAAATATACACCTGTTAAAACTATGTTAGAAGTGTTAAATCTATTAAGTGTTAAACAGAGAATATATTTTAGGACTATGGGCTATATATAATAATAATAATAATATAAGTCTTTATTGAAACATTTTACATTTTCAAACGGCGAAGTTCAGCGTGTTTAAAAGAAAACATCTTTTCTTCCACTTAACCGTATAAAATAAAACACGGAAAAGTGCCAAAATATCTATGTGACAAGTTACAATATGTTAATTCCATATATGCATGTATACATGCATATCAAACTAGAAATACAAATTATTTTTATATAGAAACTTCTAGAACTGCTAAATGTATGAACAATGTTTTAAAAAATGGCCTTATTATGTTTAATAATTTAAAACTTTAAAAAATCTCACGTGAGATTAAGGGGGGGAGAGGGGGTCGAGCAAAATCTCACGACATCTCACCAAGGGGAGGGGGGGTCGAAAAATCGCCAAAATTGTCTCACGTAATTAATGAACGGCCCCTAATGTATTTATTTATGTAAGAAACTATATTAGCTTTGGCTAAATAAACGTTTATTAATTAATTTATTTATTTATTATAACTTTTAATATAAATCAATATTATATTTAATT